TTTTTTTTGTCATATTTTTCATAAACGTTATTACAAAACTCACACCTCAATTCTCCTTTCCCCCCCCCCCCCCCCCCCCCCCCCCCCCCCCACACACACACACACACACTCTGGAGACCTATTCATTCCAAGCACGTTTGAGGAGGGGAATTATTTAACTCAGCGAATATGATGGTATCAATTATTCAGCAGAACGTAGGAACGTTTTGTGGAAAAGCCCAGGCATGTGAAATGGAGATCTTGGAGACCCACACCAAAACAAATCCGAACTTCCAGCACGTAAATACAGTATCAGTTTACGTGAAGTGTTAGAGTTGTGAATGCGGTGATTAATTAATAATGTCTACCATTTAAGAATATAGGGGGGGGGGGTAGGGGGGCTAAATAACTTTCTTCACCTTGAAAAGGGCGGGGGGGGTTAATAGAGAGACGAGTGCTTAATAGATAAACTGCAAAACAGTCGGTTTTCTTCTCAAAAAGAGTGAAAGAAAGGTAAAGTGTGGCGCAAGAGTCTTACGCGCGCCAAGCGCGCGGGTTTCACACGCCCTACGGCATGTGAGGCGAGAGAAATTTTTAGCGTCTCTCCCTAGTCTCGCTCACTGTTTTCAACCTCGTTCCAGACCTTTAATTTGACTGCTCGCGCGTACTTGAATACGCAAAAATACGGACTGTTTTGCAGTCTACTTAATAGAGGATTTATTAAGTATTTCAAGAAATCACCTTCCTGCACGAACCAGGGAGAATCCACAACGATTTTCACCGGTTTTCACCGTTTATGACAAAAGCGGGTCAGATTTTTAACAAGGAAAGGACACCTTAACGTTATTGAAGATAATACCTAGGGTGCACGACCCAAATCCCCTTTGAAACTCTTGTCTTCAGAACCGTTCTCGTTTTCTCCTGGGTCTGCAGGATATAAACTAGCACGTGGCATGAAAGTTATGAGGATGCTTAATTTCGCGGATGGTTTTACATTGGCTCTCGGGAGCCAATTGAGGCGTATTTTGAGACTCTGGGTATTTCCGACGAAATAAGAGTTGCCACGATCGCTTGTGATGAGACGAAGATCTTAGATTTTTGTGTTTTTGTCGTCGTCGTGCTTGCTAGTAGCGTTACCACGCAAAAAATTTCTTGATATGTGACAATTAACTGACGATTTGTCCGAAAACACCCGAAGAAAACGACGCTCGCAGGTACCCATAGAGAGGCTCAGTTTTATTAGATTTCATGCTTTAAGGGCATAAATGTATCGCCGCGGATTCTTCGCCAGTTTAGAAAACCTGTAAAGAAAATGACGTGAGTTAACATGAAGCTAGTGTGATTTTGTCCTTTTCGAGTATTTCCTTGGTTAACGCTAATAAGTCCCTTGGCGAATAAGGACGCGGCAATAATAGCCGGCGACCTATATGATTACGTCATCGAGTACCAGTACACTCTTTGGAATAACAAATTGAATGACACAACCTCTTTAACTGCACGACAAAGTATAACCCGGTACTATCCTGCAAGCAGGCTCTCCTATTTAAAGGTGATGCTACACGGGACGATTTGCAACGACGATTTTTAACGAAACACAGCATTACAGCATTGTTGCAACATTGTTTCGAATGGTTGCAACATGGTTCCAACATTGCAACGCTGTGTTGCGCAGAAAATCGTCGTTGCAAATCGTCTCGTGTAACATCACCTCAAGCGAGCGTCGCTAGCCGCGCGAGAACACGCGAGCGAGCTGCGCTCCCAGCCCCCGCTTTCGCGTCTACTTTTTACCATATTCCCTTCAATTGAGAACTTGCTCGCAGGCTAATCCGGTAACAGAACTTGCAAACGCGTTTTCTGTACGTTTTCTCACGTTTTTCCATTAGTTGCAGTGTTATATCGTGTGACGAAGAAGACAAGTGATCAAACTGCAACAGTACAGAAAGAGCTCCCGCCGTTGGAGTCTTTTGTGTGAAAGCAATTGAAGTTAGTCAAATACTTGATATAGTTTTGAGTAGATAGAGCAGTACTTCTCCAACACTATATATACCTTTAAGGTTGATTTTATCTTAAATAGTTTTCAGTAGGAATACATATATTTTTGTCTTGATCAGAGATTAGTAGAATCTCGTTTAATTACAACTACTAGAAATACTGTCACCTAGTATAGGCTTTTATAATAAGATAGTTATTGCCATTCACCGGTAACAGAAATTGCTCTGGATACCCAGATATCATTGTTTGTTTTCATTTTTTCATGAGTGACTTTTTCATTCAGAGAAGAACCCTTTTATCTCACCAATAGTCGTTATAAAACAATTAGGTACTAGTGGTAAACCAACCACATTTTTTACACTTGTGATATTGTAAACTGTTTCCTAAAGAAACTGACTTAACTTTGGCTGGTTCACAAAACAAAAAACGTAGTTTCAGCAACTGAGTTAGAAATTCACGGGAAATTCATTAACCTAATCATCAACTCTTGTGATAAAATCATTATTTTATGCATGAATAAATAACTTTTTATAAACTCTAGCTTCAGTGAGCTATTCTAACTTCCCTTCAAAGGTATAACTAATATAATTATAATCTCTTGTTTTACAGTGTTACGTACAGGTTTTTAATGGTAAAGACACAGCTGTAATCGACAGTCAGGGATTTCTAGCAGGCCCATGGCCCGGGGGGGGGCACTTGGGTATTTTTTGGGTGGGTATGTGCCGCCCGGGACTCCAAATTGGCACCCCGTTCTAAAAAAAATTTCCCCTAAAACTGATACCCCGTTCTAGAAAGGGGCCAATTTTTTATACTCCGTTTTAGCGTGCAAAGAGTACAACAGTTTGGTTGTTAACGCATTGAACCGTATTTTTAAAAGCAATCTGTCCTTGAATAATTTCAAATGGCTGCTTACAAAACTGGAGCTTTCGTGCGTTCGAAATATTATATCCCGTTCTAGAAAACGCCTCTGAAATGGATACCCCGTTCTAAATCAGGAGCTTCAAAATCACGACCCCGTTGGGCGGCACATACCCGTATAGGTAATGTATGAGAGTACCCCCCCCCCCCCGGGGCTCATGGCCACAAGGACTGAACCTTTCTCAAATTTTGTTAGTGTTAACCCTTTGCATACCAAGGGGGGTGGTATTTATTTCACACAAAAATAGGCACAGTTACAACAATGCTTGCCAAGTCTCTTCTTTATTACAGACACCTGCAGACCTATACATATTTAGAAAGCAAGGAAAATATGCTTTCATATGAGTTAGAGAAATTATGGGATATGATACTTTTGTGACGTCACGAGCCACCTAATTAGCATAATTATGCAAATTTTATGCAAACATTCAGGAAACTTTCAAATAACTTGCTCTGAGCTTAAAAAAGTTACAATTTTGAGCTTTTCTATTCAAAATAAAAATCTACTTACAATTTAGGTTTAAATGGATAACAAACAATAAAATATACATCACATCACAGAAAATATACATTATACTTCAATTATTGAAGTATAATGTATATTTTCTGTGAAGAATAAATTTCTTTTATCAGGAAGAGGGACTCAAAAAAATTTTTTCAGGGTTTGAATATTACAACTTATTGGGTACCTTTACAGCATAGAAATATATTTTTTTACACAAGAAGAGTTAGTTTCTCAATACTCTCTTCCTTCCTCTTTGAAAGGGCCTCCCTATCCCTTCTTTTAGCCGTCGTGGGCCATCACGTGCATCATCATCAAAATAATAGTTTTGCATTGTGTGGTATCTTAGAAAACAAGGCTCAACACACATTCTGACGCCACAAATGGCACAGCTGTAAATGGTTTTTACATTCTGTACATGCACTTTACATGTGGACCTGGTGTCATTGCTGATGAGATGATGGAAATGGTCACGGTTGAACCTTACGTCTGGAATAACAACAGGGGCCTGAACCAAACCTGTGTTATTCCTGAAGCTCTTCCCTTCAACTAACTGACTTATTACCTTCTTCCTAAACTCTAAACTGGTTGTACTGGCATGGTTTTGGGATTTGGTTTGAAGAATGTGTGCATTTGACACACAAACCTCTACCATATAAAAAAAAAACTTTGTAATACCAGACAACTCCTTTCATCAGTCTGGCATAAGCAACTGTCCTCTGATCAGAAACATCCACACCACCCATATAAGTGTTATAGAGGTCTATAACACCTGGTCGAGCAAAGTCTTTCTTTTGCCAATGGCCACTTTCTTTCACTGAGCGCTGCACTAAACTTGAATCTGTTGCACTGGTGGGAATTGTAGCTAAAACACTAACTGGCTTCCTGTCACGCCATGTCACGCACGTTAGATTTCCCTTCTGCCTGTACAAAGACTCCCCTCTCTTAAGCTTTTTGACTGCCTTTTCTTTCAGACCACAAATCTCTTTAGGCAAGCCTACCCTATTGGAGCGAACTGTACCACATGAAAGTGTGTTTCTTTCTTCCAACTCTTCAAACAATCCGACCGAGGTGTAGTAGTTGTCCATAAAGGCATAGTAACCTTTATCTAAGTAAGGTTGAAAGACAGACATAACAACCTTCCTGCCTAAATCTCTCTGCACTTCATTGGGCTCCTTCCCAGTGTAAATCTTGCTGTTCAAGACATAACCACTACTAGATTCTGCGAGGGTAAAAGCCTTTATCCCAAATCTGCCTGGTTTTATTGGGATGAATTGCCTAAAATGTAATTTGCCTTTAAACTTTATCAATGTCTCATCTGTGGCAAGTTGTCGCTCAGGTATGTACACTTCCTGAAACCTCGCAACTACCAAATCTAAAAAGGGTTGAATTTTGTACAGCTTATTGTACCCCTCTGAGTCATTTCATTTCATCCACAGTGACTGGGTACCATACAGAGCTTTCCCTCGGGCCTCTTTTCTGTTCTGCATACAAATTGGTCTGACTAACTAATAACGGCCATACCTCTGGTGTAAAGAAAAGTGAGAAGAAATCCAAACACGATTTAAGATCTCTGGTGTTTACATTTACCCCAGGGTTTTCTCTAAAGTCAATATCTCTTCTTCGTTTAATTTCTGTGGACCACTCTCTTTCCACGACCTCCATTACCTCCTGTGTGCTCTCATCAGCTGAGTCTTCACTGGAATCCTGTTCGCTGGATTGCGATTCATCGGAGTAAAATTCTTCTTCAGAGGCTCGATGCTCCATTATGTTTATAAGAGGGAAGTCATCCTCGTCAACAAAGTGAATTTCCACATTGCTTTGATCGTTTGCGGAGCAAAAATCGAGTGTGCGATCGGGGTTAAGAGCCGCCATTTTTAAATCACCGTACTAAAAATGTTTAACTTACAAGAAACTCTCAAAATTCGTCTCAATTTAAGCGAAAATCGAGCAAAACTGCAAAATAACTTCATGTAGTCTGACACAGAATGAAATAATGGCGTCCAGGTCCTTAGATCTCGTTTTACGGTCTCCGAGAGGGGAGTTGTGATTAGCTGGCCATATATGGCCAGTTGGTACGCAAAGGGTTAAATATCAATCTTGTCAATAAATGTAGCGTATTAGTATATGTATCACAGCTTGTAAGGTATCCTACAATTTAGTCTTCCGACAATAAACCAGGGATTGATTCTTGCATGTGGAATGAATGAGCCGTGAATTCACACGCGAGGCAGTTATAAAATTAATACCACCATAGTTTCTCGGAATTTGACGTAAATGTCTTCGAAGCAATTTTATCCATTCAAAGATTTTCAATGTGACCAAATACAGAGAAGTTCTCGTAAAATATTCACTGCTCATCACGCATGCAGGAGTGCCGATTTGAATTTGAGACCAGTTACGGGAACAACTAACGGCTTCATTTTTCAAATAATCAATTTATTAATAGAATTTTGGGGGGTACGCTTGACCTGCCTTGACTGTAACAGTGGTTTAAATTTCATTATCTTTGTAGGTATGGTAATGTAGGATAGTAAAGTGTATATAAAAATATGTATAAAGAAAGAACTGGATGCACTGAAGTCTCTTCCTTTGGCACTAAAGTCAGAAAACAAAGCAGCCGAAGAAACAGTCATTATAATTTCACTGTATTTTAGGTGCGGTTATATGCTTGAATAAAATATCATTAGCTGTACACTTTGTGCTTTTACAAGGTACTATCTGTTATGTAGACTGCGAACAGCAGATGTATTTCTTGATGCTGTATAAGCTGATTTTAGCTTTTGAATCTGTAGATGAAATCTTGTGGTGTGACCATTAAAAAGAAACCTCTTCAGTACTTTCAAGTGGTTCACATGCATAGTACTATTCATTTTCCTTCCAAAAAAGGTATTTTTTTTAAATTTCCATTTTAGGCCCTTACCGGTATCTTTGATAAAGGGGTAAATTTGTTAAATTTTAAGTCTTTCATACACCTTTGTCTATTACAGCACTCAGAATTACAGTTCTTCCTTGGGTGTGGTATTAGAAGACCTGCTTTCTTGGGGGACATTAGATGCTTTCCCTGTATAATACTGATGTACTAACAAAGCCACATTCTTCGCACTCACTGCTGACATTTCCATTGCACTGGCAGAATGCTCAATGGCATTGATGTAGAAGACACCATCATCCAGAACAAATGACCAAAATTTCTCAGGGGGTGTAAAGTGTGGATAAGCCAGCCACGACACTACTTTGACCTCATTCACACTGCTGAACAGTTCATTAAGTTGAGAATCAGTGAGATCTGATCGTGAAAACACTTTCCGAATGGGTGTGCCCTTTGGATCCTCTTTAGTCCTGTTTTCAACATGCTGTTAAAATAATTTTTAGGGGTCTCTGTTGTGCCAATCACTCCTGGGATGTCATATTCAGTTCCAAACCCAAAATGCGTCGAGTCGATATGACCATGCACAAAAGTTGCCACTGTGCGCCAGAATTCACCCAGTTCTTTAGGAGAGGGCCAGTTTTTGCAGCCTTTACAATAAAAGAAATAGCTACTAATTTCTAATGGGACTGCAACAATCACCATGTCGTATTGTTTGTCTGAAATGTTGCCGTCCCCTTTTAATGTGTAGACAGGCCTTTCAGTATTGCCATTGTTTTTTTTTACTACTTCTGTTACCCTGGTATTCTTGTACACTGTTGCTTTGGAGTTGGAAAGCAAACCATCACAGACATCTCCAGTTTCCGCCTTCAACTGACCACAACCCTCCTTGAGAACCGGCCAATGACACTGCTTCTATCATAAATAAACTAGAGGTTACAAATATGTAGTTATAATGCTGTGTGCAGATGACTGCCTCATTTACGAGACATTATGCATCAAAGAACTAAGGCCCAGTCTCAAGACACACAGTGACTCCATTAGTGTGAAACTCTTTGTTTAACTTGTAACATATTAAATATGTTACTTTTCTTTTCAATGATGTACTGTTTTTCATCCATTTAATGAACATGCATAAGCTAGTTTCACTTGAAGACGTCAGAGACTGTCGAAGCATCATCATCTTTTGAAACTTTCTTTTAAAATTTCTCATAATGTTTATAAGAAAAGTTTTATCACAGTTTTTTTTTTTTATAGCCAAATGTTTTTTTGTTTAAGTAGATACTGGGCAAATGATGATGAACTGACATACATTTTGCTAATGATATTTAACAGACCCTTTTAATGGGTCAATTAATAATTTTTATAATGATACTGCTGATCATTTCTGCTAAAGATCATTCTGACACAAACATCGAGTTAGTGATGGTTTTTTTAGTGACAGGACACCCAAGGAACAACAGGAGTCCCAAAGATGAGTTTGTTGCTCACCTGGGGGCTTGCAGTAATAACTGTCTGTTTATAGCTTTAACAAACATAAAAAACCTTCAGTCACATAGTTCGCAACTCTGTTGTGCTTTGCTGTACTCAGTACATTTGTATCAGAACAATATGACAACATAAATGTTAGCTAAAGATAGCTTCAAAATTTCCCACTCAACAAATTAACCTTGCAGCACAATGGTATAGCTGTTTGACCAAACCTTTATATTACGCAGTTTGAGTTTAGGCAAGTTCACTACACTAAAAAAGGGTGAGGGGCTGTTGCAAGTTGCCGGGTATATGCAATTAGTGGCTGGGGAGTGGAACAGCCAGGAATTTCCATGGGCTCTATAATTTTTCCTTTTGTTTCTAATGAAAGTAGCTGGAAGTCATTTCTTCCAAATACATGAAGTGATTCTGAGAGGTAGGCCTTAACTGACAAAGTGTGTCACATTAGTTAATATTCAAATTCAGATAATCATGTTCATAGAAGCCATGGGAAATCCCCAGATGCCAGCCCTTAGTGACAGCCCTGATACATGTAATGATCAAAAAAGGAATAATTTTAACTATTAACTCCCAGAAATAAACTTTTACATAATAATTTGGAAGGATATGATCAGCTCAGAGAAAAAACAGGACGCTTCTGTGGAAGCCCTGCATGAGACTGCCCCACTGAGGTCATGACTTGTTATGAATTTTTATGGCAGGGACAGTAACCAACTTTTGACTTGAGTTGCCTGCATAACATGAAGCTAAATTAACTACTCTATAAAAGTCTTCTTCTAGCCACTTCTATACATGACTAATTAACAATTATTCCTCGAGCCCGAGTGGGCTCTGAGTCAATAGCCCATGAGGCCGAAGGCCCAATGGGCTATTGACTCAGAGGCCACGAGGGCGAGAGGAATAATTGTTTTAGTAAAATCCACCTATAGTTGGTCAAAAATATCGAGAATAAAAAAAATTTAGCTAGTTAAAGCCAGAATTTAATTCTTTTTTGCCGCCAAAAAGCCCGCGCTTTTCGCTACTAGTGGGCTATTACATATAGCCTAGTATTAGCTCAACCAATCAGGACGCAGCATTGATAATAGTCGAGATTTGGGCGCTTGGTTTTCGAGATTTGGGTGCTTCGTGCTTCGGTCTTCGTTTTCGAAACTGCCATATCTGGGAGTAAATTAGTAGCAATGGGCCTGGAGTGGCGTTCTCATAGAAGACTTTGCCGAAGCCTTGTTATGCCTTGTTCTCTAAAGCATTCTGATAAGTGGCCGGGTATTTTGAAGTGACTGAGTTTTAGTACCGCTAAAAGCTAGTGGAACACCAAAATAGCGCTAACTTGTCGAAAACGCTTCAAAACGGCTTGAGACGCGAGCAAACAACAAAGAATACAACAAAGCAATAAGGTAAGGGACTTGTCAGAAATTAGCAGGGGGGGAGGGGGGGTGGAAATAGAGGGAGGGTCACAACTTTTTGAGACTGCAGAAAAGGGAGGGGTCATGAAAAATGGCCCGTTAAAAGGGGGTGGGTCATGCAAATATGTGTCCGTGATCATGTAGAGGTTCACCCACAGAAGAAAAAAGGAGTTCTTTATTTTGTAAAAAAAAACTGGGAGAAGTAGGAGAGTCGAGTGATCAGCTGTCAGAATCAGAGTCGGACTCTTAATGCTGTCATCTAAAATGTATGTATATGGCATTACAAAGAACAGATTAGAAATATATTTTGGGCTTTCATAATACTGACTCACCCTAGTGTATTGCAAGAACTAGATTTTATCTTTTATACTAGAGGGGGAGGGTCATGATATTTTAGGCCACGGTCAAGGGGAGGGTTAGCAAATTTCACTCTTATTGCAGGGATGGGTCACCTCATTTCCGAACCCAAATTTAAAATTCCCACCCCCCTCCCCCCCTGTTAATTTCTGACAAGTCCCTAAGTTGATTTTATTTAAAAACATAACATTTTTTCTCTCTTTTAAGAAAAACCGTTTACATCCCATAAAAACCTTTTTAAATAACCGTTTGTAACGCAACACCGCTCGCAAGCAAGAGTCACGTCCGCGTTCATGTCATGAGCTTGGGCCGCCTGTGCCCAGATCACACCAAAACACCCAGCCTAGTCCCTTGGCATTCTCGGCTCGGTCACTCTTTCCCAGACTTCACTCGGACAAAGGGGGGGGGGGGGGGGGGGGGGGGGGCGCAGTTGGGTATTTTTTGGGTAGGTATGTGCCGCCGGGACTCCAAATTGGCACCCCGTTCTAAAAAAACTTTCCCGTAAAATTGATACCCCGTTCTAGAAATGAGCCAATTTTTCATACCCCGTTCTAGAATTCGCCCTAAAACTGATACCCCGTTCTCGAAATGGGCCAATTTTTCATATTCCGTTCTAGAAAGTTTGTAAATTGAAATAGCCCTGTTTTTTAAAAAAGATATTTCTTTATTTGTTCGACTTATACATCAAATAAATGCTTCTTCATAATCATTCAGAGTACGTTTCCTGCGTATGTGGATACAATGCGGTTAATTATGACGCAAAATCTCTCACCACGCACAGAACCACACTCGTAAGCTAACGATTTGAGCCCGTCTCCATCTCCCTCGGGTCAACCCTCGGGTACATTATGGACTCGTTCCAGACTTCCGCGCGCCTATTTATCCAAGATGGCGGGGTCAGCGCTCGGGACTCGCGCCAAAATACGCCCGCCCTGCACGCTAAAACACAGGGGTGCAACAAGAGTACAACAGTTTGCTTGTTAACGCACTGAACCGTATTTTTAAAAGCAATCTGTCCTTAAACACAAACGGCTGCTCACAAAACTGGAGCTTTCGTGCGTTCGAAATATTATACCCCGCTCTAGAAAACGCCTCTGAAATTTAAACCCCTGAAATAGATACCCCGTTCTAAAATCACGACCCCGTCGGGCGGCACATACCCGTTTCTGTAATGTATGGGAGTACCCCCCAGGTCTCGGAGTTGGCACAGTGAGCCAAAGGACCGTAATACAAGACTTCCTTCTTTCTTTTACCTTTGCTGAATTGCTGTTTGGGTGTCTTTTTGCCATGGAAAAAGGTTAGTCTTTTCTGATTTTAAGTTCTTGAACACTTTGCAACTTTAATTCATTAACGCTAGGCATTTGTACTCAAACTTCACAATTTCAGTTTGTATTCACACAGTGAATCAAGTCGTAAATGCGTGATAATCATTCTTTATCTTCGCGTCTGTCAATTCCCTTTAATATATGAATTTCCGTGCGGAACCAGTGGATATATGATTTTCTTCTATTCATAACTTCATTGTGTATCTGTCGAACGTTTTGTTTTCTTCGTTTTAACTGCATGAGCAATAGTTTCAAAATATGAAATCAATTGAGGTCCCCGTTTTTTTCGTTTGTTTACGGAGTGTTTGATATTCAAATCGTAGTAATACCCAGCCAGGAGTAGAATGCTGGCCTGGCAGTCAGAAAATTACACTGATTTTCTATGAAACGTCTCGCTGTAACCTCCTGAAAGTATTCCATCTTATTGAAGTCGATTTGTTAGGCGAATAGGGGAACATAAGCGACATTCTCAGTTGGCTAAGAACAGTCAGTATAGTTCTGCTTGCTTGAGCATAGAATAGTATGAAATCGCAGATAGCTCTTTTGCCTCTGTGTGAGTCGGTCTGCTTTGAAACATAGGCGTACGGGCCGGGGGGGGGAATGGGTGGGGGGGGGGCCGAGGGGCTGGCGGCCCCCCCAAATTGGACACGAAGCGTATTTTAGGAGACCACGGGAAACTACAGCCAAACCCAGTGGATAAACTGTTTGGGTGGCGTGCGGGGGATGGAGTGGGAGTGTTGCGTGGTTGTTTAGGTGGGGTAGGAGTGGAGGGTTGTTTTGTTTGTGGGGGTGTGGGGGGTGGTGGGGGGGGTTGGTGTTGGGTGTGGGGGGGGGGGGGGGGGGGGGGGGGGGGGGGGGGGGGGGGGGGGGGGGGGGGGGGGGGGGGGGGGGGGGGGGGGCGAGAGGGCTGCAGCTCCCCCAAAGTTTGAGCAACTCAGATTTTTGGGCAGCAAGGGAAAATTTGGGCAAAGCCAGTTTTTAAAGACGTTTCCATGTTTTTTAGTACTATTATTATTTTGAAGAGATAAATATTTTCTATTTAACCTGAAGTTGGCGTAATAATTGAGTTACATTCACACAAGACAGTGGTTGCCTAGCAGTCATGATGAGTTTCTGGTTACAAGGGAAGGGTATCATATGCTGATTTTTTTTTTATTGTTGGTCACTGTACCGCACTGCACTAGCTGGAATGGGCTATTTCCAGTCGTGAATTGATTAGAATAAACTTCGCATAACTTTCTAGAATCACCTCCACTCCTAGAACAGTGTATGGCAGATAGCATCAGCAATGGGTCTGAAAGTGAAGAAGTGACTGACTAATTCTCAGTTTGAATTACGAAAAGAATCTTAATTTTTTAAGAAAATCTAGTGAGTGGTTTAAAAATTATTCACTAATATTTGTTAAGGTAGACCGAAATGTTTACAAAACCCCTAAAAAGAGCGCCATCATACTAATCAAATCCTTCTTTATTGCAATTGGCCAGAACTATCTCCATGATCTTTCACACACATTTTTAAAAAGATTGAAACTAACTATGAGGTGAAATTGCATGTCAAATGCACTTCGTTTTCTTCAGATAACAACTAAACATCAAGATTTTCCTTTTTTACCGTATTTAATCTAACAATAAAAACTTCATCCCAAAATATCTCTTTTTTTCTTTTTTTTTCTTTTTTCTTTTTTTATTTCTTTCTTTATTTTTATTATTATTTCTTTAACATTTCTTTATTGACAAATATCTCGATAACGCTCTCATACAGTTCTGTTTTAACTTCATGAATATCGAGGCAACTATTGGAGGAAAGAGCTCCCCTGAACGATTTTGTAAACTAAGAACAGTTCCCAATGAGAAATATTGCTGCAAGTATGATAGGTTAGGCATCATTTGACAACTCTGATGTCACTGCAACCCTGATCATGACAAATTTTCCTCTTTATCTAATACATTTGTGCATAGGTGTATGGGAAATTTTTTTGTCAGGGGGGGCAGTAAACCATTTGCCCAAAAAATTCTCGCAAGTTGCCCCAATTTTTTTTTTTGTACAGTCGAAAAGAAACGAGGGCCATACGATGCAACAACATAGGCTGTACTTGCATATGAAGGTGGCTCGATACTGTAACAGTTTTTCAGGGTCAATACCTCCCAGTTCTGAGCATAACTACGTCACCACAGACAAACATTTGGAAAAATTGCCACCACAGTTTTATTAGATAAAGATGAAAATTTCTCATGATCAGGAATGCAATGACATTGGAGTTGTCATAGCAACGGAGTGCACCATTGCCAATTTTACTTGCAGCAATATTTCTCAGCACTGGGAACTGTTCTTACAAAATCGCTCACGGAAGCTTTTTCCTCAAATAGTCGCCTCGATGTTCGTGAAGCTAAAATGGAAACTGTGAGAGTGTTATAGAAATATGGTAGAAAAAGGAAAATCTTGATGTTTGGCCATTATCGAACAGAGAACTAGTCAGCCACTTCTTCATTTTCAGACCCATTGCTGATGCTATCTGCCATACACTGTTCTACGAGAGGAGATGATTCTAAAAAGATATGCAGAAGTTTATTATAATCAATTCACGACTGGACAGAGCCCATTCCAGTTAGTGCAGTGCAGTGCAGTACAGTGCTCAACAATAAAAAACTATATATATGTAAATCAACATATGATACCCTTCCCTAATAACCAGAAACTCATCACGTGCTAGGCAATCAATGTCTTAAGAGAATGTAACTGGATTATTACTTCAGGATTTTTTTCAGATTAATATAGAAAATATTTATCTCTTCAAAATAATAATTATAATAATAACAAAAACGTGGAAACGTCTTTGAAACCAGCCTATGCCCAAATTTTCTCTTGCTGCCCAAAAAATCTGAGTTGCCCAAAATTTGGGGTGGCTGCAGCCCCCCTTGCCCCCCCGGCCCGTATGCCTATGCATTTGTGGTGGCAATTTTTTCAAATGCTCATTTATGGCGACGTAGTTTATGCTCAAACTTGGCTGGTATTGACCCTGAAAAACTGTATCGAGCCACTTTCATCTGCCAGTATGGCCTATGTTGTTGCATGGTATGGCCCTAGTTTCTTTTCGACTGTTTTGTAAAAATTTGGGCAACTTGCAAGAATTTTTTGGGCAAATGGATTTGAAATACCAGGTAGTTCTTGAAGAAGACGGCAGAATACTTTTCTTTCTGGCTTACACATCTTTGTAAAGGGTTTGGCGTGTTTAAAACACGAAATGCTGAAATGATGAAATAGCAAAATGACCAATTTATTTAGAAATAGTACAATTGTCATATTTTTCTTTCACTGGTTTTCCTTCCTACTATTCTTTAGGTGGAGTTGTCATGTGCATTCTCGACCTGAACTCTACACTATTGGGCAACCATAGGGTTGCATTCATTATGTATACCACAGGGGGGTGTGGGGTGGGGAGCAGAGGATTTTGGGGGGGATCTTGAAGTTTTTTAAAGGCAAAGGTGGGGATGGTAAAGTTTGTAAAGGCAGGAAGTTGGGGGAGGCCAGTCATTTTAGGTGCCATTGAAAGATTAAGTAAACGTATTTGTAACATTTACATTTAACGCGTGCAGCCTACCCCTCACATTTGAGGATTATTAGCTGTTTATCATTATTGATAAACCACTTGTGTAGTTCCATATATTCTAGTTCATTGAAGGATGTTTTTATTATTAATACACTAAACTACAATGTCTTTTACTTTTTGTAGTAACCAGCTCTATCCATATCTACATTAGCATTACCACCTTTACTTTTATCCCGCTTTTATTTATAACGTCACCGCTGATTGTTTTTATTATCATTATCATCATTATCAACTTTCGCAGCTTAGAAGGAATTTGAATGATCACTAATATTTGGTTTGTTGGCTCTACAGTTACGCTGTCATGTCATTATATCAATGATATGCTTGACTGTACAGGTCAAGCACGGTTCTATAATCAAAAGTGATCATATGCAAATTCCCATCAAGTTGCCGGCAAATCTGTAGAAAGCTTCTTTGGTTTACATAAAGAATGGAATTTCTTAGGACAGAAATTTCTTACGATTGCGGTGTCATTAAAGGATATCAAACAAGGACTATGAGGCGATCCTTCTATTAAGCCACAATTGGTAGCTGGTTGAGAATATGCTTAGACTACATAGTTTTCAGTGCAGAACCTGAAGATTTCTGTTTCAAGCATGTTAAGGCATGGCCCTTTCACTGATCTTAGACCCCCACGAAGAAATTAGCTTCCTTAATAGAAGTAGTGTTATTTTAGCTCCTTTGACCATTTGAAGTCGAAGCAAAAATAATTCAACATCCTAAACTTTTTAAGGGTTTTTTTAACTGTGGTCACGTGTTTGTTGACGTCATGATGAAAGAAAAAGAGGAAAATGAAATGGGCCAATGGTGTTTAACCTTGGCAGGCAAAGAACCATGCAGTATTCATTGACTTGGTGCATAGATTCAAATTCTGTCCAGAACGGAGAAAAATCTCTTTTCATTAAGAAGTTATTAGAAGAATAAAATGGTCACATGACCTAATTTTTAAAATTGCTCTTTAACAGTAAATGGTAGTCATCCATTCTGGACAAATTCTTAAGTGGAGAAACCAGACAATTACGTTGTTGTTTTAACATATACCCATGATTGCATGTCATCTTGTGGCCCATTTTCACTTTTCTCTTGGCGTAAGAAAACTGCTATAACAGGTCACGTGGCCCCCAAAATTCCCCTTTTCAACAGAACACTAACTTTAGGGTGTCAAGTTATATGTTAATTATTACCAAGATTCATCATGTTTACTTAAATTTTTCTTAAAATTATGACTCTTTGCAGCATTCATGCAAAATAGGCTTTGGGTCATGCCTTAACATGCTTGAGATATACGTGGAGTAGGCAAAGTGGCACTGATCTCAAATTATATTTTTCTTATGTAAAACTCATTTTCGCAGTCCTTACCATTCCCCGGCAAAAAGAAAATAATCTTGAACCAAGGTAAATTTGATCTCATGCATAACAAATTTTTCATTCATTTTTTTTTTCTCTTGGTGATGCAATGCTCTAGTAGTTGGTAATTTGGCCTTAATAATTAAAAAAGAGTGAATTAACTTCAATGTTCTCTTTTGGAGAGATTTGTATTTCACTGAATGTATTTAAGTATCTAGACCTTTTTTCAGAGGTTGGCTGACTTGCAATTCCCTTTTCTTTTTGTGCTTAACTGATCAGGCCATTCAATTCCTGTTAGCACCGGTTGTATAACTTTTCATCTGCCTTTTTGTTGGCTTTTTTTGTTTGTTTCTTTTCACTTGGGCTTGTTCTTTTCTAGTCTAGGTTCCAAATTTAACCTATCCAGGGATGAGGCACAGCTAGCTTTAATCTCTTACAACTTTCCTTTAATTTACACTTTATACGAGAAATACTAACATCTGTGAAACGTTGTTTACCTTTTGTTTTTAGTTTTATTTTAAACATTAGTCTCTGCACTATTTCATCATACTGCCCATATTTTACTTTCCTCATCAATACTGGGTGGGTGGGGGGGATTATTATTATAATTTTTTGGTCCAGAGGGGGGATGTCTTTGCTTTCGTGATGAGCGCGCGCAAGCTCATCACACCCGCCGAAAATAGCTCGTCTGTGAATAAATGTATGTGAGGATGAAGAAGTAAAAAGTCCAAAGTAAAAAAAACAAAGTTGGTAACTGTTTTGCACTAGTACAAATAAACAGGGTAAATAATTTTGTGCGAGTCTGTCCTAATTATAAACAGGGTATTACTTGCACGATTGATCTGATTTGCTTGATGAAATTTGTTTGCACTGCAAGTATACAAAAGTGATTGCAATTGCTCAATTGCAATTGCCAATAAATGGCTTCAAAACAAGAGGGCATGGATTCTGTCCTTTGTCCTAAACGATGTAATTAAATTGAGAGTGTTGTGCTAAACAGGGCACGTATTGAAGGATTTTTTGTCCTAAACTGGGTCAGGTTTCAAACCCTCAGCGGCTCACTTATACCCAAATATTAGTCAACAACAACAACAAGAAGTCAGATGGACCTATAACTGAGGGGGGGGGGGGGGCAATAAAAAGGAGGTTTTTTGTATGGGGTTTTTTTTTAAAAAGGGGGAAAAGTTTTGAGGACCCCCTTTAAATTTTTTTTTTGAATAGAGAATTTTTAAAACACCTTTTTAAAAATTCCCCAAATTTTAAGCCTCTATCATCCTCTCTTCTTCTTTTTTCTATCATACACAAAAACCCTTTTTTTGTAGTGAAACGTAAACGATTTCTTAAAGTTTGTTTGTTCAAAAGCGGGTACATATTAACACCCCCCGGGGTCACACAAACCACAAAAAGATAAAAAAAGAAAAAAAAAGGAGGAAAGGGGTCTCAGTTGGGGGGGGGGGGGGGGGGGGGGGACGTATAAGTAGCAGTTTATCGTATGAGCTTTTTTTAGAAAAGTGGGCAAAAGTTTAGGATCGCCTCTTAAGACTGTTATTCAGTAATGAGATATTTTAGACTACCTTTATGAAATTACCACAAATTTAGACCACTCATAGCTCACCTTTACGTTCTTTTACAGTCCACAAAGACACCCTTTTTCCGACGCTAAATAGTCAAATCGTATACCCTGTTTAAAAATCCATTCCATGTTCAGCCTCCATACCTCCCCCCTCCCCCCACGACGTGTTATTTAGTAATAGACTGTTCCGGACGTTCAGATAGTGGAGAGAGGCGTGAACTGGGGAGCGGATGGAGGGCAGATATAAAGAAAAGGGGGGGAGACAAAGAAACTTTTCTTTGCCCCGTTCCCACGATCTGAACGCCTGGGACAAGCTAGTTTAATTTTGAGTTTTTCACTTTTGGGAGTGAAAGGGTCTTAATCGCTAGCATCCAATTGTAAATGACTTTCGATATGTGATTAAGAACTTGCAAAAAACTATGTCATTGTCTACCCACGTTCATAAGTGTAGGCAGGCTCCTGGTGTAGGACGTAGAAGTCTGAGGCTGAGACCTAGGGGCATGATGGGAAATGAAAAATCCCGGTGTTGTGCAGAGAAGTTTTACTGTACGGATTCTATTCGATCGCCAAATAAAGTTAAAGGAAAGTCAAGACAGCGTAACATAAGCAGTTCTTGAATATTTGATCTCCCATGTGACGTCAAGTTACGTACCTTATTATTTGGGCGTCCCTCAAATAGAGTAATGGAGGTAGCTTGTTTTGATTCAAAGTTGCAATAGGCACGCAATACGAATGTAAACACGCCAAGTAAACAAGCCAAGCGACGCGACTAGAAAAGTCCAGGCTAGTAAAAAGCACCAGCGGTTAGAAAATGCATTTTCTGGTCATGTGAACTTCTACTTTTCATATTCTGAAAGGTTGTTTAGACCGATAGAAGTCAATCGGTACCGCCTAAGGAGACATTTTACCTGGGTTTTATCACCCAGTGAAACGTTTTTCCGTTTTCCAGTAGTAGCTGTAATTGATTCTCTTTTTTTTCCATAATGATTGTAGGAGTTTCTCTATTGTCCATTGTAGTAGTTGTAATTGAGGCTTTACTATTAATTTTTATTTTAGATGTTGGACGACTTTGATGTTTGATCATGGCATCACCTTTACAGAAAGCTCAAACGCATGATGACCGAGTGCATGGATCTCGCAAAGTGAAAGTCACTATTTTGGCATCTGAATGGGGACCAAGTAACAGGGGGCTTTCTACCATTAACAGAGAATTAGCCATTCAGTTAGCCAAGTTCCCTGAATTGGAAATAACTTTCTTTTTACCAAAATGCAGTCAAGAGGACAAAAACGTAGCCCTTGACCACAAAGTAAAGATCGTAGAGGCAACGCCACTTCCTTGTTTTGAACAGCTTGATTGGCTTTGCTTTCCACCAGACGATTTGGAAATCGACATAGTTGTTGGTCATGGAGTTAAACTTGGTAAACAAGCGCAGATCATTAAGAAATATAAAACGTGCAAATGGGTTCAAGTGGTGCACACAGACCCTGAGGAACGTGGGATGTTTAAAAGCTCTTCCTGCCCAATTTCAAAGGGTGAAGAAAAGCACAAGAACGAAGTAGGACTGTGTGAAATGGCTGATCATGTTGTAGGAGTTGGACCCAAGTTGAGCGAGGCCTTTCGCTCATATCTTTCTGGTTGTAATAAAGATGGTAATGTATTTGAACTCACTCCTGGAGTATTTGAAGAGTTTGAGACTGTAAAGCAAGTCAGCCGAAGCGATAGGCAACAACGCAGAGTCTTGGTGTTTGGTCGTGGAGCCGTAGAAGATTTTGAATTAGAGGGATTTGACATCGCTGGGAAAGCGATTGCTGCATTACAAGATACCCGTCTTGTTTTTGTTGGGGCACGGGATGGAAAACGCGAAGAAATTGCGAATCGGTTAATGGAGTATGGTGTTCCTGCAAGTCGATTGAACGTAAAAGGATTTGATCGAGACCGAGAGAGTTTCAAGCGCTTATTGCAACAAGCGGATCTTGCAGTCATGCCTTCAAGAACAGAGGGATTTGGTTTAACAGGACTCGAGGCAATGTCGGCTGGTCTCCCTGTGCTTGTCAGTCGCAACTCTGGCTTTGGAGAAGCACTACGCAGTGCAGCTTTTGGTTCAGCATTTGTGATTGAGTCAGAGGACCCCACAGTGTGGACCGCAGCCATTGAAAAGATCTTGAACAAGGACAGGGAATGTCGACTTGAGGAAGCGGTGAACTTGCGTGATTCCTATGGCAGGAAATACAACTGGGCCAAACACATAAAGGAGTTAGTTGAGAAGATGATCAGCCTGACTCACGGTGGGAATGTCATCTATATTTTCTTCAGTGGCACATTATAGTGCCGTAGCATGGGGAGGCGGGGGGGGGGGGGCAATAATTTTGACAGGCATGTTTAATTTGGTGAGCAGCCACGCTCTTCACGCTGCTCTTTGAGTCTTCTTTGGTTCAATGTGTTTATTTCGGTTCGATAAAGCCGTTAGCGTGAAAGTTATTTATTTATGGCTTCAACGGTTAAAAATTGCTTGAAACTATATTTCAAAATCTTCCGGGGGAGCATGCCCCAGGACCCCCCTAGCAACTATAAAAGCCTTCGGCACTCGTGATTGCCCCCACCCCCCCACCCAAAAAAAAAAAAACCAAAACATCACCACCTCGACCAGAAAATAAACACCCAAAACGCTGATAACATGGTTTGTGCGAAGTTTTTTTTTATATGCACCAGGCAGCAAAAAATAGTTACGAAAAACATTTAAAAATCTCCGGGGGAGCGCGCCCCCGGCCCCCCCCCACAACAAAAAAAACCCTCGCCCTCCGCTGTTGTCCCCCCCCCCCCCCCAAAAAAAAAAAAAAATCTAACCTTGCTACGGCACTGCATTATCAGGTAACGATAGAGAGAGAAATGAAAAGAAACAAATAAAGGATCGCTTACAACGAAGTTTTGCCCTGAAGTCTTGATAAAAATGTTTGCGGATACCTATCTGAGCCTTACGCTCAAAACATCAAAACTGTAACGTTTGTAACTTCTTCAGGTACATTGTTTTCAGCAGAATGGTCTGTGGAGTATGGTGTTTGATCCCCGTCAAAAATCAACTTTGGTACTCAACATTCAACTTGAGCGGCTAACAATGCGAAATCTTGACCTCGTTGTGCGGACAGCGTAAAATTTCCGCCAAAATGTACCCATCGCGTCTGATACGAGTTCAATATCTTTTCAACATCTGACTACAAAAAAAGATGATCAGATTTATATATAACGCCGAGCACTGAATACTGAAATTGCAAAGTTGGTTTTTGGTTTCTCAAGTTGAATGTTGGTTGCACAACTTACATGTTGTGTAGCCTGCGTAGCAAGCGTTTCCGTGCGGTTTAGGAGCAAAGAACGAGGAACGAGAGTCAAAGACCGTGCGAAAAATGGTGCAAGTTAAAGAGCCACTTTCATTTTTTGGCTCTTGTTTCATTTCTCGCGCGACCAAAACCGAGAACCCCGTTCCTCGGTCTTTCTTTGTTCCGAAACCAAACGGAAACGCTTGCTACGCAGGCTAGATGTTGTGTATTTTAGAATAATGCTGCGCGCTCAATTTTCAAGAATGCGTGATCATGTTAAATGTTGAGAGTTTAAGTTGAATTATTAACTTTGAATGTTGAAACGTGAAGTTGAAAGTTGGGTGCTACAACTTAATGTTAGCCGCTCAATTTGAATGTTGAGTACTACGGAGAGCGGTCGTCAGACCTTTCGGTCATAGTCTTTATCTTTAGCACTTCACATTTATGTTTATCGTTATACACACATAATCCCTGCAATAGCATGTTTTCTCCATTTTGTTGCAACAGAAGATTCTCCAAAGGCCCGGAGCTCCTTCGAAACAAAGTGCAACGCTTTTCTGAGGATGGAAAGCATGACTGACGACCATGAAGGTACCTTCGTAGACAGCACGCGTAGAAATCATTTCTGTCTATTTTTAACCAAGTGTGAGAAGCGCGAGAGCGAGCAAAAAATAGAGACAGGGGGAGAGAGAGAAAACGCCGGCCGCTGAGCTTCTATCCTAGGAATACACAACCTAATATAATCTCAATTGAACAAGTGTCTGAAGTCCAATTATGTTGTTTGCAAAGCAAAATTTGGTAGAATCGAGTCACTTTAAAGTTGCAAACACTTTTCACGCACTTCAATAGGTCTGGGTTTTTCCTGATATTTCAATGTCACATAGTAGCCTGTCATCACTCTACAATGACTTACAGCACAAGCGAAGAATATGAGGATGATTATACCTAGAAAAGTGCTTTTATTTTACCAAATGAGCTCGCTGACAGAGAACGTACATGTACGAGAGAATCGTGAGAAACATTTCACTGATCTTTAACGAATTTAGAGTTGCTCTGTTGTGATTTCTGTGCAATTATTATGGCCAACAAGGAAGGAATGGGCACACCTGGAATTCAAAGAGATTATAATTGTAACCAAAGCTTATTTTTGCAGAGCCTTCTATAGAAATTGAAAACAACCAAAGAACAAACTCTTATCACGACGAGCAGCTTGTTTCAGAAACGTCCCTTCCGCGTAGTTCTGACTGTGTAACGAAAGCTGATGCTGCATCAGGAAATCCAACTAAAATATCCACGAATACAGACTCTCAGTCTCAAAATAGCCGTAAGCGTAAAATGTCAGAATTCGCTTGTAATCCAGGTACGCAAAAACATGACTTGTTTTTCTTGCTATTACTCATCAGTACACTACTGTTTTTGAAGGGGGAAGTGATTGTTAGATTATTCAAAGGTACTTTTTCCTACAGGACTTGTTACAGTTTATGCTCGTACTATAGAAGTGTATTATTGATGATAATAAACTATAGTGCCGGTATCAATAGTCGCATGATACTCGCCATTTTCTTCAGCGGTTATAAAAAATTATTTTGAATAAATAATAAATAAATAAATTTATAAATATGCAAAAAAATATAAATATATCAAACACTAAAATTATAAAAATTACTTTGGTTACTTTAACTGTGCAAACTGAATAAAACCTACCAAAAACGAGTAATGAAATTGCATCTTATTACGTGTAAGGGCTTTCTGGAATGAATTGTCTTGAGTGCCTTCTTAAAAAATGACAACTGAGGGGCTTCTCCGTATCGCGAAAAAAACCAAATGCCAAAGTTTGGGAGCAGCAACAGCAAAAAAGCGATCTCCTAATGTGGTTGAAGTCCTGTCTCCATTATCCCATTTAAAATATCTTAGTGACAAATATTTTCAAAAACATGTGCGAACAGGTTGTGTTATTTTGCAAATTGTATCTTACATCGAATTGCTATAAACGTTAACATTCTATTGACATTCAAGTATGCAGCTAATAAATTGTGAATCTGTGATAACACCCTAACTAAGTTGCCTTGTGGCGGCTCTTTGTGGGTGAGGTTTTTAAACCTCTTTGGCTATGGTTGAGTCGCCTGAGTAGACATTCAGTAATGATGAGTACCCTGACGAGAGCCGTCTCTTAAATTCAGGTACTTCAAGTGAGGAGAGCGGAACCCTTTTTTAAAAAAGCATGTGTCCTCCATGATAGCTAGGCATGAAGGTGCATCTTCCCTGAGGAGGGAACCTCTCACGTAACAGTAAAGATTATATTAACAACGTAAATTTGTGTAAGTAGGTAAATAAATAAGTGTTAAGTTATTGTGCATACTAAATGTTTTGCTATAGTTTTAAAAACATGTAACTTTCCTCTTATTGATTTTCAGACTCTGTTGTTATTACTGCCTTGATCGAAGTTCTAATTTCTTGGAATACCCACGATTTAACTGTTGCACAACAAAGAATATTAAAAGAGGAATTAGAACAGTCGGTTCATAAGTATCGAAGACACCAAGATCTTTCGTCATCGCCAGTTGATAGTAGTGTAGCCCGGCTTACTGAGTATATCGAAAAGGCTTATGAAGTGGCCGTAATGATGGTAAAATCAGGATCTTTGATAATAACTGTGCAGTGCCTCACTCTGAAGAGTCTTGAAAGTCTGTGGAATGATAGCTGTTCTGGTTACCTTAATGACATCGTTGAAAGGTTCCTAGTGACTGATGAACTCAAGAGAAAGCTCGGGATGGGCAATGTCAGGTTGAAGACAACTATAGAAGAAGAAAACTACTTGATTTGTAAGAAATCTTTCTTTGAAAACTCAGGTGAGTGGAGCAGTCTCAGTAGAGCTTTTTCTGGGAACATGTATTTTGGCTTGATAAGTTTTATGGAACAATTTTTATTTCTGTATCAAATATCAGTAATGTATCGGTCATATCGAAGGTTCAACATCTCCCCCCCCCCCCCCCCCGCCCCCCCCCCCCCCCTGCTCTTTTTTTCACTTTTTTTTTTAAATCCCTCCTCCCCCGCGCCAAAACCAGTACACATACCCCCCCCTCCGCGCCCTCCGCCGCGTGTAACACGCCCACCCCCGCCGCCCCTCCCCACCCCCCCGACCAA